ATTGATAAACCTTGCAGCCATTGGCTGTATTATGTTAACATTACATAAGGTCCACTTATTATTCTGGTTATAGGACTGAACTATTAGCTTAAAAACTCCCATGTTCTTGTTGTAAACTGCATCATGTATTCATGATTTTTACTTGTATCTTATTTGCTTATTTAATAGATTGCAAACAGGGGTCCCCTTGTTAAAAATTTAATGTCAACTTGGGAAGATTAACCTCGCAATATTTTTGCTGATTGCAAAATTTATAATCTAGCAGTAATCTGTACCTTACTCTGATCTAACCATTTGATGATATTTATGTGGCTCTAACATGTAATAGCTTCAATATTTTGGAGTGTATTATTTGATGTTAATTAAGCCCTTTAGTTAAAAATCACCAATTGAAGAATTGCTAGAACCAAAAGCGAATACTGGAACTATTTATATTATTTACCATGTTGCACCCTCAATGCCTGGTTACCCCACGTCTTGTCACCCCCCCTCTTTGAGGGCCCTCTTTGTTAGCGATTCAGTTCTACACCACTGACTGCTAATATAAAGTTATGTAAAATTTTAATGCCAATAGCTCAGGGAGTGCAGTGCTGTGGGAAGCTCTTTTTGATTGGGGAACTGAAAGCAATGGCCAAAGGCCCGAGGAAATTTTTTAATTTAGTTTTCAAACAGCACCCCCCCCCCTGGTTGCTACGGCCCTGAGGTGAAATATAACCACTGTCTATCGCATGCATCAGTTAGGTGCAAAAAGCTAAATTCTGCACCAATAATCAATATATGCGCCCTAATCAATATAACCCTTTAAGTGGCAATGTACCCTCATGTTACCTACTTTATTATTTTACTGTGTCTAATGCCAAGGATTTTACTCATCAGGGAGAGAGTGCTGTCACTCAATGGGTTAATTCACAAACGCCTCCTTAGTCCTTAACTGTCTGATAAACAATTTTTGTGTTTTAAAATTTGTTATAAACAAGTTAAAATAAAAATATACAAATCTGTATTTATCCTCAAATATGAATAAGGGGTTATTATAGCCCAAGGTATGAACACTTGTGCCACAGTGCCAGCACAAAATGGGCTATTTCAGCTTTCAATTCTGCTGGAATGAGGTGATAAATTTTTAGCTTTGGAATTCCTCAGGGATAAGCAAATTTCTGTGTGGAATTCTTTGGGGGTAATCTGGTAATGGCTATTTTGAATGAGATTTTCTCAGGGGTCAAATGTAAAAATTGAAATTCTTCCAGGGTCTCTCTTCATGGGTATTAACAGGAATTCTTCAGTGGATCTCTTTTATGACCTGTAGGAATTCTTCAGTTCAGCGATATGATGAACTCTTGTGCAACGGACCTGATTGTGAGATTCCACTTCATTGAAAGGACGACCTTAGGGACGGACCGTTAGAAAACTGATGGGGGGGGGGGGACCAAAAAAGAATTTATTCCCAGGAAAAAATTAGAGGAAAAAATCTTCCCAGGCAGAGTGCCAAAAAAATTCCTTTCTTGGAAGATAGGCCTATAAATTTTAATAAAAAAAATATATTTCCAGCCATCAAGAGAGAAAAAAAAATTTCTTCTATAAGTGTACAAAAAAAATATTGCCTCTTAGAAAATCCCCCCCCCCCCCGATCACTTTTCTAATGGTCCATCCCTTAGTTAATTAAATTTGCTGTATACATTATGTTGCAACGTATCACTATTTAATAAACTTATGTACAATTACAAATCAAGCCCACAAATCGTTGAATATACTCTTACCGCTCGTTGCAAACCACGCAGGCGCCTATTTAAAAAGCCCCAGCAACTTAACGCTCGAGAGAGCGTCTTGTTACAATTATATAATGCCACATGTGTTTTATCAGATATAAAATCACTCCACGTGACATATTATGGCTGACATGATTTGCCACAAGGTTTATGAATTATTAATGATATTTTAAATCTAATAAAGCACTCCTGCTCGTGTTTTCAATGGCTTAAAAAACGACCCATCGTATGAGTTCTTTGGCAAAATAATTTTAACAATCACCGTTGTATAAGCCGATTTTAAGTGGCTTAAAAAACGATCTATCTGACAAGTTCATTGGTGAAGTAATTTTAAAAATAACCGTTGTCTAAGCCGAGAAAATCAAAACTAAAGTTTATGTAAATGAACATGATAATATAAATAAGATGAAGTGTTCTCGAGTGAATTTCCATATAATATTCTTTGTAAGATTTCATGTGTGGCATTGTGTGCATGTACCTGTTCGACTATGAATATCCTATAGTCTAATAATTGTCTTTTCAAGATGGGATGAAGATGACGTAGGAATATCTTGAGCTGTTCGTAACGGTTCCGATATGGCAGAATGAAAGCCACCTAGAAAAAAAGCTGTTCTGGTAAGTCTCATGTATAATCTCGAACTATCTGTGTCAGTGGAGGTCGTGGCAATAGGGAGTTTACGATCTGCGACGCGGCCGGCTCGACGACGCGGTCTAAATTTTAGCTCAAGAATGAGCGCTAAGCAATTCGATTACTGTAATAAATATTTGACTCTTTCAAATAACCTTACAAAATGCTACGTTCGGCTAAAGCGATGCAATGTATGCTGCAATTTCGATTCAGTTTTAGTAACACCTCTTGTGTCGCATTAAGCTTTCGCGTTGCCTGAAAGACGTAATAATGCTTTTTAAACGTTGTGTTGAGAATGACAACGCGGTTGACAATACTCATGGGACCACAAATTATTGACAGTTTGTGTCTTGCATGACAAATTTCTTTGTAAGTTCTTTGTAGGTTTGCGTGGCGATAAAACACATAATACTATTGCTTGTGGAAACACCAAATTTCTTTGTTTTGAAAGCGCATCGTCGAGCCGGCCGCGTCGTAGATCGTAAACTCCCTAAAGCCTGGTTCACATTGATCGTAAACATCTGCGATGCCCATTGTCGGTGGTCATTGATGCATAAAATGTTTTGTACATTTTCTTCTTCGTTGCTCACAGACAATGGATCGTAGAACATCGCCGATCAATGTGAACCAGGCTTAATAATAAGAAAGCTTCGGACTGACAGGGATACAACTACCTGGAAAATACAAGGAGAACCTCAACGTTTCGAGCGAATGCTCCCATCCAAAGGACATTCGCTCGAAACGTCGAATCTCTCTTTGTATATATTTCTCAGGTCGTTGCATAGGGATGCAATCCGACGTTTTCAATTCACCTTCATACCTTTCTAGCAGGTTTACAATGTGGTGGTCTTGATGCTCCGCCTTTCTCCACCCAACCTCCGTACTGAACTGAGAATGACCTTTCCAGATCTTCCATACTGCTTACGATGTGGTTATCTACCAGCAGACCACCAACTATACATAAATAAAATAGAATACATAAGATTTGTCACTCTGTTCGGTACAGTGTAAATGCAGCCTAAAGCCGGTGTTCCACTTCGCCCGTATCGTACCGAAACGTACTGGTGAGCATGCGCAGATTGAAAAGAGGTTTATAAATCCACGTACTCTCGGGTGTATTCGCGTATCAAAATAAAAAGTTCGTCCCAAGTCAACTTTTTGGCGTACTACGGAAGTACTAACCAATCAACATTCACGAAATTTTGAAATTTAAAAACGTTTTTGATACGTTTCGTTATGGTACGCTTGAAGTGGAAAACCGGCTTAAGACACACACTGTCAAGATTTTCTTTTTGAAGGACTTTCGCTTCCAAGGACACGGTCGCGCTATTATTTGGTTCAGGGGCATCGCTAGCCCTATTTTAATGGGTGGGTGGGTGTAAGTGAATTTTGCCTAGTCATCTCAACCGCTAATTAATATTTCTTTTCCCAAAAATGTTGGCGAGGGAGGGGGAAAACAAATATTTTTCCCGACATATTTTCATTTTCTTTCTCTTTAATTAAAGAGCTAGTGTCAAGTCCATTCCGCTCATGCACGTGTTTTATTTACATTTTTTGTTTCAATTAATAGATAATTTAATTGATCGGATTTTTAATAGAATTATCTATTGTTTGAAACAAAAAATGTAAACAAAACACGCTCATGAGCAGAACGGGCTTGACAGTCTCTTTAACATATCGTTATTCGGTTAACTTATCGTTAATTTTATCGTTCATTTCCCCAAATTTTAGCTATAATTATTAGTTTTTAATCCGAGTAACTCGTATGTTTTTGTTTTTTCCCTTCCTGTCCAATGCATGTTTTTCTGACTACGAAAACATTTTACCGACTGGGACTCAATAATTTGCCACTACCTGACGATTCGGGGGAGAGGGGGAATTCCACCCACCGTAAACCCCCCTAAACGCCCCTCTAGCGACGCTCCTGATTTGGTTACTTTTCGTTGTGAAGGTAATGAAAAACCCTAGATGCTAGCCTGTCATTTCGGTGCCAATCTTACCTAGGTTTTCGCCATCTTTCGAGCAGTGGGCGACAGTCTTATCCGTATCAACATCTTCCCTGCTTTGCTTGGGAACTAAGTTACTGACTGATTCGCTTCCCCTCTTTGTTTGGATTGAGTCACTGACTGTTTCGTCTTTCTTGTGTTCAGCAACAGAGTCCCCTTTCTCCTGTGCTGGAACTTTGTCACTGAGAACATTCCCTTTATCATTCTTGCGTAACATGTCTTTAATCAAAGCTTCTGAATGATTTACAACAAGAAAAAAGTTCTTGTGTGCGTAACCAGAACTACCGGCTTTGTAAACTTGGGAAATTGTCCATAACGCCAAAATAGTCGGTGCAATTAACATGTAACGGTACCTCATCTTTTATTACGTTTCTCTTCTTTTGAGTTCACTATTTTATATTTCTTCCGAGTACACCGTAGTTTCCCCTTTTTGAATATACACTCTATTTTTGTGATACTGTAGTTGTCGGACTGTATTCGCCGGCATTACACTGCATTCATTTTCACTGGCTATGGCCTGAACTCTCATCCAAGTTTACCTTTCCTTAAAAGTTTTTCAGTATTTTATATTACCTTAATATGATTCCTCTTGCCTTTCCACGCATCGATTTCTTGTTTAGTCTTCCTTACTGCCCTTGTTTAAAAATTACCATAACTCATTATTCGTAACTCATTAATACGTGCTATATCCATGCAAAACCATGGTTACGGGATATTTCATTCAAACTCGCATGTATTCGTCAAAAATAAAACTTGAAACGTGGCAGAAACAACGTATTTTATCTTGTTTTAGCATACGTATTTGAACTTCCGTTTCTGTCTGAACTGCATGAAAAAAAAGACTAAAATCACTTTGACGTTTCGAGGGAAGGACGTTTGTTAGGAGATGAGTCCTAGCAATCCTAGACGAACGCCACCTTCCCTTAAAAATAAATCTGGAAGGTATACATGCAGGTCATCATTACCGGTGGATTATAAAATTTATTGCTCACAATGGATGTTTTGCTGCACGGTCATCGTTTATTTTCCGAAAGCCTTTAAATTATACCCAAATAACTGTGTGACATACTGTAACAATAATGTTTCAATCATGAAAGTATTGGTAAATTATAAATTAAGTTTTGATGGATATTGTATTATAAAAATTGTCGAGTGGAAATTTATATACATTAATTAGACCTAACCAGGATTAACAGAAGCGAAAAATGCAACTCTAAGTCCCTGGCAGGAATTGAACCTGTGGCCCTGGGATTCCGGTGCAGCACTCTTGATATTTACCCATAACCTATACATGGCAGTACGCCGAGTATGCATACATGAACTTGTGGTTAGAGCTCGACAGCTGACTTCTGTGGTTCAGTTGGTTAGAGCGCTGCACCGGAATCGCAGCGCCGCAGGTTCAATTCCTGCCAGGGACCTAAAGTTGCATTTTTCGCTTCTATTAATCCTGGTTAGATCTAATAAATGTATATAAGTTTCCACTTGACATTTACCTTTCCCCTTATAACTAAAATTTCGATCTAGACAAAAATTTCATCACAGCTTGAAAGAGCATCACAAAATTAGTAATATTCCAAAGTTTTGTTGTAAAATCTTGTAAAATGCGGATAATATAGCCTTGCGAAGTTTGCCGTTTTTCAATCATTTTGTATTACAAACGGGAAATTGACATACGATTCGGGTGTTGGGACTGCAATTTCCCGTTTGTAATGCAAAATGACTGAAAATTGCAAACTTCGCAAGGCTCTATTTTCCTCATTTTACAACATTTCGCAACGAAACTTTGGAATATTACTAATTTTGTGATGCTCTTTGAACTGTACGGAAATTCGTCCAGCTCCATTTGTTCAGAAGTCCTTACCTGACGTCACTGTCAAACAATAAATATTTGACCCACATGTTTCCCACACTGCATTGCGTGTACGTAATGTTTTAATGGATTGAAAATTGCGTGACGTAAGCACTTCTAAGGGTTATTGTCATAGATATAGGAGGTCTCTTATATCTATGGTTATTTATACGGTTTGCCATGTAAACGCGAAACCGTGCAACTTCCAGACGGTGCTCCTGAATAATGAATTATTTTTATGCAATAACTTGGTCGGGTTTCGTGATGTTTGTATTGTGTAGTGAAAATAATTGCTGGTGTCAACCATGAAACCTGCTATTGTTTTGATTAACTTAAATTATTAATATATATATTATTTAGGTATTCCGAATAATGTTGGGGTTTTGAAGTCCGCAGTACAACAAAGTTTTTGCTCCAATTTAAAGTAGAAGACGAGATAAACAGTGAAAAACTACAGTCATGATAGACGGAAGGATGTGAAGACTTGATACTGGATTCACAGAATCTCGGTTCCTTAACATGGTATGGTAAACTTTTTTTATATATTTACTTTGAAGTTATGGAAACGTATAGTCGTTGGCGTTGCTAACTGAATCTTCATACAATAAACGAGTCTTTAATATAAGAGTTGTACACTACAGGATTTTCTGGTCTTCGACAAATGATACCGAGCTGATCGGGGGTCCGTGCTGTCCTATAATCACTACGAAAGAATAAGATAATTTTTAATGATTTAAGCGCGGCCTTTTTTTAAGACGACTTTCCATGCCCGTCCTGCCGTCCATTTGGACAGGCGCTGAGTTTCTAGCAGGATTTAAGGGCGAAAAACTTTAATGTTTCATCGCCTGTTTCCTGGTTTGACTACCCTTGGTAACATTGTTGTCAAGAAATTCAACTGTTTACCAACTGATTTTTCATTTGTTGCCTAAACAATGTTTTCTGATTTGTTCACCGTCGCGAAACACTGCTATTAAGGAAACATTTTTTCATCGGGTTTTCCTACCTTCGGGAAATATAGCTAGGAAACAGTAGGGACCTTAAGCGATCAGGACGGCAACACGACACTTATTCACACAATGATATTCCTGATCTTGTAGAAAAAAATAATTAAAAGCCCCACGGGAGTTAGAGACGTTGTCCGAGCGCTTTTTCCAACGACAAACCAGAGATTTTCATGTCTCTTGTACAACGCAAACATTTCAAGCTGCGACAAGTGGTACTACAAATTTACCCAGCAGAAATGTTTTTTAACCAATAAGCCGTTGTTATAATCTCCTCAAACGGTACAAAATTTATGCAGTGGACAATGCACAACAACTTTTATTCACTGCAATTTGTTTGAAGAAGTTTGTTTTGGCTGTTGTCGTCGCTAGCTCCCTAATGTTTCCTGGTTCGTCCGTCAATTACTGTATTTTTTAACGGTTTCTATAACCTGCTTTTTTTGTCAAACTGAGAAAAATAACGATGTACGCAGGGCAATCATACATTTGTCGTACCCATCTGATTGTTTAAACCTTGTCACGGGCATGTCAAAGTGACCGATGTAATACAGTTTCCATATATCTACACAGTCAATTAGACTGATTTGCATACAGCACACAAAAGACAGCATAGGTCCAAACTATTTCACATTGTTCAGATGATTGCGACCAAATTGAAACCAGACTTAAAATTGTAATGTACCAAAGCCATACAGCTTATCTCAATCCCATTATAATCTCAGCGCTTGGTTTGCAAGTTATTTGATTTTTGCGTGTTCTCGCTTGATTTTTACGTGAAGTATAGCTGTATAGCTCCTACTGGCAAATATTACTAAGAATTTTTCTTCTTGGAATAAACCCACCAGGGGTCGATTTTTATCTTTGTTTCATATGCATAATTTGAAAGAAATATGTTGGTCTGCATCATTATCAAGTTATTTGCCTTGAAAAGCAGCATCATTCTTAAAAGGAAAAGCATGGAAGAAGCTTAGTTTAGGAGTCAACAAAATGGTTTGGTCTCTTACACAAAGAGAGCGTTTAGCAATAGAAAAATCAACTCTGGAGAAGTATTTTCTGCTTGGCGTAACATGGATTGACCCTCAACACGAAACGAAAGTGGAGGTATTGTTAAAAAGCAACTCGGATAAAGAATATAAACTTCGTGTTTACATTCCAACTGACTTTCCTAACTCGTGTCCTGCCCTCGTTGTTGTATCACCACCAGAACTTTTTCTCATGGACGGCTTGCGCCTTCCTGAAATCAGTGATTCGTTCCACACCTTAGAAGACACCGATGGCTTTCATCGTATCTGTCACTTCTACCCGCCTGACTGGACGCCAGATATCACGCTATATCAAGTCTTTATGAAAGGTCGGCTGTGGATTGAGGCTTATGAAGCTCATTTCGACACGGGAGAGGATATGGATGTCTTTCTTGGGGAGCAAAAGTATACAGTAGCTTCCGAAGAGCCATTCTACGAGTCTGATGATTCTATTAATGACACCCTGCCTGATTTTGACTCTGATGGGTGTTTGGATTATTGGAGACGTGAGCCGCTGGCTGACCAACCCCCTGCACCTCCTGTGACTTACATGACCTCACCTTTCCCTCACCTATCAGACCAGACTCTTCCTACAACTGTGCGAGTTTTGCAATCAATGCCCGAAATGCCTACATTGTTCCAACCACGTTTACCAGATGAAGCCTTGCCTATAGGCTTTCTTCTCGATCCAAGCCAAAATTCCGAGCTACCAGCAGGAATGCATCGACCACCAATTGAAAATAAAGACAGCCCATCTTCACAACTAAGCCAGCTGCCCTTCAGCCCTGTAGAACACCAGTCACCCGAACGACATGGCATCAGTCCCAACAACAACAACAACAGCAGCAACAACAACAACAACAACAACAAAGCACCACTACTGAGTTCCCCATCCTCTAATTATGCTTCACCTCCACAAAGAAGCCAACAGCCCCTTGATTCTACAGTCAACTCCTCACCCCTACCATGTGGTTTAGAGAACTCAAGTGTAATTTCACACTCCCCCAATGACCCAAACAACGAATCACAAGCACAGACAAGCTCGTCAAACAACAATGCACCATCTCGAAGCTATAGACCAACAGGAGGTGTTGATGTGTTTGGAGCATTTCATGAAGAAATGATGAGACGAAATTCTGCCTCCCGTGCGCGTCCCACTTTGGTCCCCCCACCTGTTAAACCAAAGCCTAAACGACCCCGTTAGTTAAATTATATCAGTGGACAATTTCAAGAAATATAACAAAAAAGTGAAACTGGTCCTCGGTCTCTGGTGAACATAATCATATTAATGGTAATTAGTATAACACACTATACTAGTTAACACTGTGTATATATTTTAACATTTATGTAGAAAATCGCTGATGATATTATCATTAGTTAATATTATTAATATTCTGTTAAGCGCCGACAGGAGAACTGGAAACGAGTGACACTCAGTGGTCGTGTTTTTAGTGTGTTCGAGTGCGTTTTATATCTGATAAAACACGACAACGAGTGTTTTGAATAGCTTAAAATACGACTACAAAAGAATACTAATTAGGATGAACCATTACATAATCATGCTAATTAGGATGAACAATTATATAATGCCACATGTGTTTTATCAGATATAATAAAGTCACTCCACGTGACATATTATGGCTTACATAATTTGCCACAAGGTTTATGAATTATTAATGAGTATTTTAAATATATATATATATATATATATATATATATATATATATATATATATATATATATATATATATATATATATATATATATATATATATATATATATATATATATAATGAAGTAATTACTAGAATGGGCCGGAGGAAATAAGGATGGGCCATGAAATTAATTTCATCAGCTTGGGTGGGCCATCAATTTGTTTTTTGTGCAAATGGATGGGCCATGAATCACATATAGCATGTTTGCACTCAATACATACTCAGTATTTAAAACCAGTTTGATATTCAAAGCTGTCCGCATATCTACAGTACTAGAACATTCTTTTTATCTATATGTGTATTGGGTGTGTAAACTCGGCTTGGTCAAGTCTCAACGGCGAGGCTTTGGTTTCGCTTTAGCTTTTGGAGGTACACGTCGCAATATAGGAGCATTTTCGTCACGGAATGGTAGTAGAATAGGTACAGCTCCAGCTGGTCTGTAACGTGAAGACGTAGAAGCAGGGTAATTTTGTGATGTTGTTTCCTCGTTGTTGTTTGCGTCACTGGCTGAGCCTTCATTTGAAACATTGCATTGAGGCAGTTCTTGCTCTGATCCAACTGGTACTGTACTGGAGGAATTCTGGTGTGATAAGTTGGGAAAAGGTCTGCTCGTATCATGGACAGGGTTAAAGAATTGGGATTCTTCATCTTGGGCAGTACTATCTATATAATGTGGCATGTATGTGTCCAGCGGTTCATCGTCATAGCGGGCGGGGGGGATGAACCTGCTGAGTGAATTTGATCGAGCTGAGTTGAGATTATTTCCTCTTCGAGAATTTGCTGTAGGGTTTTGCACTGGTTCATTAGCATAGCGAGCGGTGGGTAAGAGAGGGTTTTCACTATTCTGTGAATTTGACCGGGCTGGGTTGCTACTTCTTGGATTCGTTGTAGGATTTGAGTAGGTATTCCTTGTTTGGCTTTCTGTTGAGTTCCTTGTCACCGTGAAAACGGATTCATCATTATAGTGAGCGGTGGGTAGGGGAGGGATGAAACTGCCAAGTGAATTTGACCGGGCTGTGTTCAGATTATTCCTTCTTGAATTGGATGCAGGATCTGAATACGTAGCTCGTCTTTGCGTACGTGGGTCAGTGTTCACTGGATCATTAACATAGCGAGCGCCGATGAACTCTCTTTCCGAATAGCTATACCGAGAAACCGGCTCTTCTGGTAAATTACCGTAATGAGCAGATGACGTATTGCGACCAGATGATCTTACTATGGTTTGCAATGGACTGTTACGGACTTGTTGTACAACTGGGCTTGGTGCAGTCAAACTTTCTCTCTGAATATTCTGGGCAGTATTTCGCGGCTGTGGCGTGTACTGTTGTTCCCCCAGAAACGCGTCCATCTTCCTACCTGTCCTTAGATGTGCCTCGTAACCTTCAATCCACAGTCGACCTAAACACAACAAAATCCCGAACAAATTACATTCACGAGCAAACTAGAGGAATTGGGGGGTATCCGCCGCCAAACAGTTAGCCAAACATATCCTCTGCCGCCTATACCATCTTTCCATTCATCACAAGAGTCCATTCGCTGCGCGTTGTGCGAGTGCTTTTATTCAATCACAATGCGCGGCAGTTAATTAGAATTAGATGCAAACTCGCTGCGAGCCTGCGAGTTAGTTTTCGTAACGAGTGGAAAGAGCCCTGTGTTAGAGTCGCCCGTTACTACAATATGTACAGGGCCGTTCCTAGACGCGATAATTGGGGATATATTCATATATTCATGTTCATATACCGTAAAAACAATCGCAAAAGTCCGTCGGGCAGAACATGAATATGTGAATATATACCCCCCTCCCCCTAATTATCGCCTGAATGTTTGACTATACATATATATAACAGTAACCGGAAATGGGTGGGTTTCACTTTATCTGAGCACTATTGTCTTGCAGAGTGTGCAGGTGAGCTAACCTGAGTTATCAGATGGAGAAAATATAGTTTCGTTTCAATAAATGTAGTAGTCTTTCAGTTGCAAGTAAATAGACTTAAGGGATGTAATTTAAGTTAACTATCATATAACAAATGGAGAAGTAATTTGTTTGCTTCTATCAGTGTCGACAGTTGTATCACCATTTAACCCTTATTGGGACCCAGCAACATATATAGCAAAAAGGACAAACCTTTCATAAAGACTTGATATAGCGTGATATCTGGCGTCCAATCAGGTGGGTAGAAGTGACAGATACGGTGAAAGCCGTGGGTATCTGGCAACGTATGGAAAGTATAGCTGGCTTCAGGAAGTCGAGAACCGTTCTTGAGAAGAAGGATCGTTGGTTGAACAACAACGAGAACAGGACACGAGTTAGGAAAGTCAGCTGGAATATAAATACGAAGTTTATATTCTTTATCCGAGTTGCTTTTTAACAATACTTCCACTTTCGTTTCGTGTTGTGGATCAATCCATGTCACGCCAAGTCGAAAATATTGCTCCAGTTTTTCCTTTTCTACTGCTAGACGCATTCTTTGATCGTGTATCCAAACCATGTTATTGATGTTTTTGTTCTTGTAAGTCTTTAGTTTTGCGATCGGTTGTAGATGTAGTTATGTTAGTACATGGAGTAAAAGTGTTTGAAACAAAATAGAGTGGCACCCCTGTTGCCTTTTTTCTAAGAAGTGAAGTTCTTGTTAACATGAATATTTGATAAGCTATAGACTCGTAATTGGTCACCGGGTGAATTCGAAACAGTTCTCAAATTTACATGGTTTCGCCTTTCGTGTCCACACGAGGTGCATGAACCCCTAGCTGGAAGGAGTAATTCCAGCACAGCCAAGCGATCGAATTTCATTTCGAAGTAAAACGACTGGACCGGATGGATTTTAGAAAATGAACATACATACATAACAGATTATGAATAAATAACTTTATTTAACAAGGTTTGAGTTTAACACTAAAAATCCACTTAGAGTTTCTGGGATTAAACAAAACCTACATGATTATATTTACATATTATACCAAGCTGGGTAGGCGTGGAGGGAGGACTGAAGGGGGTAAGTCTCTGTCAGGGTTGAGTTGACTCTATTGCAGCGGTGGGACGGGAAGTGATAAAACTCCGGAGTGAAACTGGATTACGTTGTTTCTTGTTTCATTCTTGTTGCAAGTGTTGTTTGCGTCTTTGGCTGTCTTGGAATTTTGTGGGTTCGCCAAGAATTCAATCCAGAACCTCCTCGTCTGGTAAATCATAGCAACGATCTATGACTGGCAATAGACTATCACCGACTGTTTGTCGCTGTTGGGTTGTTGTATTGAACACCTCTCACTGCTTATTCTTGGCATTTTAATGCGGTACGCTAAATTTTTGTTCCCCAAGAAATTCGTTCATATTCTTTCCCGTTCTCAGATGTGCTTCATAACCCTCGATCCACAGGCGACCTTAAAAACAACAACGAAAACAACTTTCAGACATTCCCTCGCTCTTCTTGTTTAAGTAAAGCGAAAAATCAACAAAACATTTTGAACAGATTAACACAATCCCAGAACAAATTACATTCACGACCCGACGTTTCAACACTCCAGTCAAGGGTGTATTAGGTCCAGGGAATGTGTAACTATGCACAATCAGATTTCAGTTACGTACCGTATATAAATCAGTATATTATATACAGTATACATAAGATAGTATGGACTATGCATGGAATAGATGGATTTCACTAAGCTCTCTCGTGTAGCAGTGGATAGTCAGAATGAGAAAATAATGTTAATATTTTTATAATGTGTAGTAGTCTTCTACTTGGTGGGCAAATATAAATAGAAAGATGAAGTTCAATATTTTTAAAAGTGTCAACAATTCTGTAGTTGACTGCACTGTCTGCTAGTGACTGCTACATGTAACATATATAACGCCGAAACCCAGGAATACAAAAATCAAATCAGTAATAGGAAGTACTCAAAACCTTTCATGAAGATTTTATATAATGTGGTATCTTGCTCCCAGACATTCGGATGAAAGTGACAAATGCGATGAAAGCCGTCTGTATCTGGCAATGTATGGAAAGGAGAGCTGCCTTCGGGAAGTCGAGAACCGTTCTTGAGAAGAAGGATCTTTGGTTGAACAACAACGAGGGCAGGACACGAGTTAGGAAAGTCAGCTGGAATGTAAATACGAAGTTTATATTCTTTATCCGAGTTGCTTTTTAACAATACCTCCACTTTCGTTTCGTGTCGAGGGTCAATCCATGTCACGCCGAGTCGAAAATATTGCTCCAGAGTTGCTTTTTCTATTGCTAGACGGTTTCTTTGTGTAAGACCCCAAACCATTTTGTTGTCTTCTTTGTTCTTGTAAGTCTTTGGTTCGGTTATTTTTGCGATTAGTTGTAGAGTTATGTTTATATATGACTAGGATATAAATAGTTATAGAATGACAGTAGAGTTTCATTCCTGCCGAGTTTCTTCTAAGAACTCAATTTCCTGGTACTTGACATCAATAACACTGATACATGAATAATTGATAAGGTATAGAGTTCACTTCACTTCCTGCTACAGAATGGATAGAAGGTCACCCTACCAATTTACTTGTTTAAAATAATTGTTTAAATCTGATGTTTATTTGTTGTATGCTTGCAGGTTCTAATCCAAGATTTATTGTTTATTTGGCTCTTGCTTTGTTTGCCGACCACGGGTAAGAACCGCGATGAATACGTAAAGAAACCTTAGCTAAAACTGTCTGTCAACACGATAAAAAATATCAAACGTATTAACAGCAAGGTTCGTGGGACTCATGGACATTGGCCGAGGATAAATTTGATTAAATTTTGGTTAAATTTGAATTGAAATTGGACGAGAAGTTATTAAGGCCGTTTTCACAGACCACTAACACAGAAGAGAGACATACAGAGTTGTAACTAGTGTACCCACTTTTTTGTGTGCATGCTCGGCAAGTTACTAGATGCATGCATCTGATTGGATGACGACCTGATGACGACTCACTTTAAACTTGCCGTGCAGGCGCAGTTGATCATTTTTCGCCCGGTCGCCTGAAAAAAAGTGGGTACATGATAACATAATCTTCCGCAGTGTTTACGACGGTTAGTTACGGCTCTGTATGTATCTACTCTGTGCCACTAACGTTCGCTTTGCCCACGCTGGCGAAGCGTTCATTGTTTTTGACGCCTGTCACGCCCGCGTGAGCAGATTTTCAAACCCCGCTCCGCCCGCGCCGGCAAAACGAAGGCCGTTTTCCACCAGGCAGAATTTTTTGCGCGGATAAGCGCGGAGCAGAATTTTTCTTTGTCTTGTGGAAAACGACCTTCAGTGTACTGAACGCGTAATTAGCCCATGGTATAATGTATGCATGATAATTTATCCATGATAATTTATGCATGATAACCTCTGGCGGATGTGAGTGTAGTGTTTTGCCGCGCTGTCTCTTACCTCAGTAATGCATGCTACTGTAGGTCAAGGGGAGCAGAGGCGTAGCTACAGGGTCTGCCCGACAATTTTCTTCAGGACCGCAGGTCGTGTTTTATTAGGTCTGGTCTAAAGTCACTCGCGCTGCGCGCTCGTGCCTTTAAACCTAATAAAACACTCCTGCTCGTTTTTTAAATAGTACATGAAATATACCAAATCTGTGGCTTTCAGATTATTATAAAACGTGTCTAAAATGCATGAAATGAAAAAAAAATTGGAGGGCTGGCTACGTGGAGACCGCGGGCGCTCAATGGGTTACTATCATTATATCATTTTGTTTAGAAGCAAATGAGAGTTTTCTTTTATACAACTCTTGGAATAAGTTATGTCTCACACACTTGCCTGCTGGAGCAAAAGGTGAAGCGTGCAACCCTAGTGACCCGAATCAAGAATGGCAGTGGATGTCTGGTCTATACTTACAAAATGTTGGCTCTGGACAATGTGTAACAAGTATTTCGAGCTCACCGTGGTTTGCAATGCAAAGTTGTGTTGAAGGTGAGCACGGACATGGCGTTAGGGATCTAACGTAACATTACATTTTTTACATTATTATTCAGCTCATTTCCCATTGGGAATTGTCAGTGACCGATTACATCAAGTATTACGCTTACTCATGTTACAACAATTGTGATATTACTTTCTTAACTGTGTTTATCCTAACCCACTCTGTTAACTGTTAACTTTCCTTGTGGGAGGAAACCCGAGCACCCGGAGAAAACCCACGACTTTTGGTGGAGCGTTGACTGACTCTTTTCACATGAGTCCGTAGCGAGAATCAAACCCACGATATTAGAGCTGACGACTGCGCGCTACTTCCCCTATAACCCTGGCCCTGACCTTATCCCAAGGTGGGTGTTAGATGTTAGAATGCGCCTTACCACTGATTTACACCTGCGATTGCTGGCCAATGGTGGGGTATTTACTTAGTTTTATAATTTCTCTGCTCTTGAAACTCGTATAAACGGGGTTATGGTTGATTCTGGTCGTTTATTTTTTTAAGGCCCTGTCACACTATTACATATCGTTCTAGCGTATAAAAAATATCACTCGTACGCTGGAAAACGCTGACATACGCTAGGGGTACGTTAGGCACAGGTTGTATACGTTTCAAGCACGATCGCATACGGTGACATACGGCGAGGCAGAAACTTTTTTTTACTGAAGCATACTCATGCAGTAAAACGCTGAATACGCTAGAGGTACGCCAGATGTACCGTTTTCATACGCTGGCATTTCAAAGGGATTTTGTGCGTATGAAAAATATTTCATTAATTTTCATACGCTTCTCATACGTTTCTCTCATCGGCAATAGTGTCACAGAGCCTTTTAATAGCCTACGGTTAGTGAGGTACGAGCTAGGGTAAATAGGAAACCACATCTTGTGTAATCAATGTTAAACAGATAATAATAATTAACAATTATTCGCCGAAGGCGAGGTGATTATCGGGGAATATTCACCAAGACGAAGTCGAGGTGCACGTTGTTTTAGAATTTTTACACAAGCTTTTTGTGTATTTTGGTACTGAATTTATTTTAATTTCTCTTATTTTTTTATCAGTAAACTTCCAGAAAATGACTAGACGCCATTTTTCAAATTTCGGTTTTGTTATATTCACCTGCAGGTGAATATAGCATCTTAATATACGTCAAATTTGACCAATCAGGTGGTAGGATTTGTTATATTCATTTGTGCAAAAATACTAATAATAATTATTAACTAACCAGGTTCCGATAATCAACGCATGATATGTTCATACAACGTGATTAAAGGAAGTCATCGTGGAAAAACTCAAAAGCAGTTAGGAATGGGAGGTTCCACTTATCGCATGTACGGTGATACGCCTCCGATGAGAAAAAGGTGGCAAGTGTATGGTGCTGGTGAAAAGTCCATATGCAACGGGAAAAGTTTCAGAGGTATACCGTATATCTAAAAGGAGTTTAAACTAACTTTATCTATACTTGATGATAGTTCTGTTTGGTGTAAAATGTTTTTCCTAAAGTCCCAGCAAGGGCGGTTCTACTGTTACTGGAAGAGATCTACTGTTACTGGAAGATAATTCTTAAATAATTTTATAATAGATTAGTTTTTCTTGTGAGGTCCAGTATTCAACAGTGGCGTTGTTATAGTGATTTGCGTTTCCCCGTGAAAACGTTTCCTCTCCTCGGAGCAAAATCCCATATGTTGCCCAGCACTTAATGCTTTATGCCGTTCAGTAATACGCTCTCCTTAAATCTGCTCGGCTCCTCGGAGCAAAATCCCATATGTTGCCCGGCACTTAATGCTTTATGCAGTTCAGTAATACACTCTCCTTAAATCTACCACGACCATGACTACTGCCTGAACTCATATATTTAAATACTTTGTGAATTTGTTTACTGAAGATTTTCAAGAAAATTGATGTAAGATAATGTTTAGGGCTCCCAGCGGGGTGCAAATTACACAGGGGAACACAAATCACTGTGACAACGCAACTTTTTTGGGCCCTAGATCAATTAGACCAAATAGGGTCTCCTTATATCATCCTGGCATAGCAACCTCCCCCCCCCCCCCGCCTTTGAATCGGACGAACCCTGTCCCTCTTCAGTTTAAGCCGGTGGCCCCTTAGCACAAAGTTACGGCCCTTTTTGATTCACTGTTAGGGACCGGCCATGAAGTAACTGGTAGGGCGGGACGGAGGGAAAAATAGGTTTTCCAAAACAATTCCGGTGGCCCATTCTGCATGAGGACCTAGAAAAAATTTCAAAGCCCATCGTAGGTCATTGGAAAAATCTCAAGACCCATCCTGCTATACATAAATATGTACAACCTCGTCCCCAGGGCCTTCGTGCTGAAAGGCGCCCTGGGTACGAGGTTGAAATATGTACAGTATAGCAGTCTCCTTGATCAAACCATGCACTGAGTCACTTTCTGATAACTTGTGTAGTAGTTATAGTATATGTATTGAGTGCAAACAGGCTATATGTGATTCCATGGCAAAACATGTAATGCCATTAGGTCAGAAGTATCAGGTGTCATGTCACGCTGACATCGCGTAATACAATCGCGCAATGAAAACATGGCTTTTTTCCCTAAAATACCTCATTTCTCGGTTTATATAAAACATTCTTAATTTGTACACTCGGCTTGGGACTCCTTGTGTTGTAGCGCTATTTCTTGTCGTAAATCTTTCTTTTGGATGTTAAAAAAAGCCCTGTCACTTTTGCCTCAAAGTTGCGTAATATTTCATTGTTTAGTATAAAAATTACTGTGAATGCGCCTGCGACCCGCGTGTAAAGCGTCGTAACCCTGTTTTGCCATGCGTAATGTTAAAATGTACATGCAGATTCACAATGCCTGGGCTCTTGCGGTCATTTTGGTGGGAAAATGTTAAATTTTGACGCAATTTGGACCCCGTCACTTTGCGATTGAAAAGGTTAGACAATGATCTCGACTTCAGTGTTTATCAGGTTTTGGCTACCGGTTGATGCAGCGTACGAAGAAAAAAATGAGAAGGAACAAGGACATGATTCACTCATTCACATGAGCAATCGTATAGAAATCCTTTCTTTGAAGTCTGTGTAAACCAGCAAGTGTTTGCAAGCATTGCTACAATATAAGGGCCTTTAGCTTTGCTCTAAACGTCGAGAAGCATTCAACTTGATTTTACTGTATTTATACCATAAAGGCTTGGATATTTATACTTTATATGAACAACGACTTTATTATGTACAATATACATAGTTCAACACTCAACAGCGTTCTTATATTCATGTTTGGGATGTACAATTTTATAAAAGCCTTTCTCTGGTCGACATCGCTTCGAGACAGTCGACATATGGCGTTCAGTAATATATGATATTATGATTATGCAAGTAAAATGACACCAAGTGCGCTTGCGCAAACTCGTTTGAGCAAATGTCGCTCGCAATAGGCTTATGTTTTGGCATGATGGCCCATCCATTTGCACAAAAAAAAACAAATTGACGGCCCACCCAAGCTGATGA